TTTATCATTAGTTGTTCAGTGCACATAAACTTACCTTGATATTTGCAGTGGTTTGTAAATCAATTTGAATTCAATATCAATATCTTCATTATGCATTAATTTCAAAACAATCAAGTTTTCTCCAGTTTTAAGTGGAACAACAGCCTTAAATCCTCCTTTGACTACCGGCCACACCACTTGATGACAATTACATTTTACCAATAACTTTGTGTCTTCTTGAAAACTTTCAAGGGTATACTGAGGAGATGAGTCCAGTATCTGGAGCTTATCCCCTCTGTCAGATTCAGGGTCACTCGACGTCCGTAGTAATCTTCTCTGGCCAACTGAGGAGCTGTGTTCTGTATCAATAATTATTCCTTCTAGCAACACCAATGGATAGCAAATCGTTTCTCCATGTAAGTAGTTCAGAATTTGAATTTTATAACTAGAGCTTGTAGTAGAATTCATCGTTGATGTTGTATATCATCCTAGTCGAGCTTTGCTTTAGAACACTGAATATTTCATTGACGAAAGGAAATCGCCGATTAAATCTGCATGTGCAGACAGCTTGCTAGTGTAAGTACTGTGGGCTTTTTAAAGTCATTCCAGAGCTGAAACGACATTAACAAAGATTCACTCGTGACGTGGCCGAGAACTCACTGTCAAAGCAGCGTCAAAAGAGATAAATTTCATCCCGTTTCCAAGGAAATTTTCTGCATTTTGTTGGAGAATGAATCGGTTCGCCATGTTTGTTTTCTAATGTTGTGCCCAGACTCCAATTACTTGGTAATCGAACATGAGTGAAAACTGGGTTCGAAAGCTCTGTCGGCAGAAAAAAAGTGAAAAACAAAGGAAAGAAAATGAAACGTGACAGGTTTCCAGCGAAGTAAAACAAAGGATTGTCGGTGGCGGGAAGTCTTCTGATCTGTCAACATTTGTAAAACCGGACTGTAGAAAGTCTGCAAATTTCAAGATCAGGCTTTCCAGTTTGTCGTGAAAACACAACTCAGTTTGTATTTGCGCTGTGCGTGGTATAATTATTGGGCCTGTTGTTCAGCTGAAACCTGGAGAACAATTCATGAATCGTTTGATGACAACAGTAACTGCTGTTTTCACGTCGTCGTCCTGATCATTAGATGCGAACGAAAGATTCATTTAAAGGTAGGCATTCAGTCATTGAATTTCTTTAAAAGTCACTCGAGTTCACTTTATCAAACGTTAAATAGTCCATTGTCTTCTTGCCTCACTTTTTAATACGACTTTGCGAACCAGATGTTTCAAAGTTGCTAACGAAAATTTCAGGTTATTTAAAATTAAGAGTCCTTATTAAATTTCAATGAAATCGTAGTTTATCTTTAGACCGCGTATAAAACCTTTTTTCTTTTTCCAGTTTTATTGACGATGTTCAGGTAGCGTCGGTCGAGTTTATAATTCATTAAAAATTCAATTTTGAAGAAGAATCATATGATCACATCGTTTTCACGTTTTTCGAGCTTTTAGGAGCCAATATTCGCTAAACAAACAAACACTTCTTAGCGCTATTTGCGAGGAAATGTTTCGTTTATGTTCCGATTGGGTTAGCATTGTTCGAAAGACTTGTTTCGTCGCGTGGCTTTGTTCGTTCTTACACTTGTCAAATGTTCTATTTGTCTTCTTATTTAGATTCGTGTGGTTTATGTGCAAAACTCGGAAATATAATCCAAGAAAATACTTTTTGATCTCATCTTATCTGATCTTCTTTAATTGCGAAAGCTTTTGAACGCTTTACCACGCAGGAAACGATGTTTTTTTCATAAATCAGAATTTATGTTGTTATGCAAACCTCAGAAAAAGGATTAATACAAGGCACGCCAAACATTTCCTCCAATTCACCGTTTAATTTTGGTTTTCGCGAAATGCTTTGAAAGTAGTTGACTAGGATTAAGAAATTTACACATTGTTTATTTCATAGGTTTGCCGCTAAATGGTTTCGTTCTCACGGTCGGGTTCCTTTTAATTAAGTACTCAAAACTCTTGATAGCGCGGTTTCCGACAATCAACGTAGCTCACTTTCTTTATTTCCGAACTTGACCGAGCTACAAATCAGAATTTCAGATCACATCTGTTGCTTCATAAAAAGCCTTTATAGAAAATCGCGTAAAGCTGATGAATAATCCATTTCGCTATGTTTATATGTTGTACTTTTCTTTTCATGGCGCGCACCACCAAGGTATTTGCCCCAGGCGAAACATTAACTGCATTAAAATAATTTCCATTATCTTTTACGAGTTACATGTTAAACTCTTGTCCCTTTAGACACTCTTTCGTAATTAAAAATGATACTCTGTCAAAGTCAGAAGAAAATTTGTGGTTACTGTATTCGCTTTTTCTTTCATGGATATTAAAATTTACAATGATCAGAATCCGGACGTCGCGGAAAATTTGTCATAACAGAAGATAAAATTCCAAGGCGGAGTAAAGCAAGTGGAATTTCCTGTAAAAGCACCGCATATTGATTTAATAATTTGTTGTTGATCTTGAGCATTGTTTACTTTTTTCAAAAGACCAATGTTAGCAGAGGGTGCTGATTGCATATTGAATCCTCTGTGTTTTCACTTAGTCTATTATGACAGTTTGACATTATATTACTGGTGTCAATTTACTTGTCCAGTCTTTTAAAAAAACTGATATCTACTATGCTCATATCAATGATTTAACCCGGCGCTTACTCCCTAAAATGGCCTTTATGGGAGGCTCCTTCCAAAAGTGGCACCTTTTTCATTTTAC